TTGTCAAAAATATGCTGTCATCGTATCAAAAGATGGGCTGTAATATGTCTCTTAAGACACATTTTCTACACTCACACCTGGACTTTTTTCCTGACAATTGCGGAGCCGTAAGTGATGAGCACGGCGAACGTTTTCATCAGGATATTTCAACAATGGAAAAAAGGTACCAGGGAAAGTGGAATCCTTCCATGCTTGCAGACTACTGTTGGACTCTTGGTAGAGATGCTCCAGAAACGATCCATAAAAGAACAGCAAAAAGACAGCGCATATAGTGATTCTTATAAGTATATGACTCTTGTTACTTTTTTTAATATATCCTTAAAAATAAAAAGTTTTTTTTCTAAACCGCAACAAGATACAATTAAAAAACTAAAATTTGTTGTCCAGTGTAATTATCGCTTTAAGGTGGCTAGACATCTATGGGGAGAGAAGATGCTGACCCCATATATGTGCTTTTATTTAGCAGCTAGAAACCATGGAGTTTTATTAGCACGAACGCCGCAGGATAGGTTTCAGATGTTACGACAATTATTGGAATTGGAATCGTGTCGCATAGTCCTGCAGAGCCCAAGTTCGATATTTTTTCTGGTGACCGACGTACGTCAGGCACGCCACCTGTGATTAATGTTTGCCATTGGCAAATGTCCACCGAGGTAATTTATGTGCGATCTGCAAATAAAGTGTACGAACCAGGACAACGCCGAAACCGAATTTTTGAAAACCTCTAACTGGGCTCGGGGCATAAATCTGCTGTTTTTGCCAGCAAAGCCGAAAAATCTGAAACCTCTGCTCACGTAATAGGATCGAGTTTTAGTGGAATCCGAATCAGGAGAGATAATGATGTTCGACAAGACAGGCACATAAAAATATATATTTTGCAAGAAAAGTTATATGCTGTGCTTTTCTTTAAATGGATCAATTCAAGAAATGAACACTTGAGGTAATAAAATTGGATACCATATTTTAGAGTAAAATTGACAGATGAAAATGTCAAGATGGTCGCTGGGCGCCATCTTGGAAAAAAATTATATGAAAACGGGGCATTTGTGGCACATCATTTTGAAGCTATTGAGGAGTGCTTTATATGATCGGATGACCTTGGGGCTTTTTGTTGTTTACACTACCAGTAGCTGTAAATTAAGACACAAGTTTCCTTAAATATTTTCTACAGATAGGACGATTCGAGAAACGATCATTAAAAATTCTTTCGGTCTCGTGCAAGTAACGCGTCGCACCATAAATAAAAATCGCTTCGATTTTTTCTTCTAATTCTTGTCACTGCCAACAAAAAATAACAAAACAAGTTTTTATCGCTGTTGCTGTGTATACGGCAGGGAATTACAATTATTTGTAGAGATATGCATGTTAATGTAAATGTAAATGTACCACCATTTTGTAGCTGGTAAAGGTATTGACTTTATATTCTAGGGTTATAAAGTACTCGTCAGGAGCTTCAAAATCATGTGCCACAAGACCCCCGTTTTCATGTAATTCATCATGAAGTACACAGGACATGGTTATACAGCATTTATTTTTTGAACGGGTCAAGTTAGAAAATTGAAATTTAGGTGAACGAAACATTTTCTCCAATGGAATGAGGGCTCCTGTGATCTCATAATAGTAGGATTACGATCATTATCTTTCAAAATGGCGGTCTGACAGGCTGTCAAAGTGGAGCGTTTTTGTACATTGAGTAGCTTATAGTTTAGCAACCAATCATCAAACTGTTAAATAAATTTATATTAATCAGAATTAGACGCTGTTCCGTGCTATTTGGTAACTCATCAGCATGGTGTAGGCCTGGACAACGAACGAAAGCTGGATAATTGTTATCGAAATAAGACAGAACAAAGTGTCATCTATTACCAGAGTCACCTACTATAAAAGTGAAAACACAAGTTCTCAATTGGAACTGTCTGCCAGTTGTGAGCTTGCTGTTTTCACGTCCGCAGCCGTTGATTCAGGTAATAGATGACACTTTGTGCTGCCTCATTTAAATAGACGTTAATCTTCTTTTCCTGGAGGAGCCTAATTCAAGTATGCACTGAAATACGGATCATTACCTATAAGTTTATGTATTACCATGTGAGTCAAAAGTCATGTGGTAGCATAAATGAACTGTCAAAGATATGCCATTTATAGTCATGGATTCGTTTATAACACAACAACGCGTTTTGGTTATCCAAACTTATTACGAAAACGGTCGAAACATAAAAAATACTTTTCGCAAACTGCGCACTACGTTACTTACATGGCCGCTCTACAGAGCCTGGAATTCGTTGGATTGTTAAACGTAAACTGGTACCAACATGCTCGTCCAGCTCGTACTCGTGAAAACATAGCCGCAGTTAGTGAAAGTGTGCGAGAAGATCCAACCACCTCGACTAGGCACCGTTCGCAACAATTGAGAATTAAAAATCCAACTAACACAAGAATTGAAGCCGGCAGACGATCAACAGCGGCGTGTTTTTGTTAGTTGGATGCTGGAAGGAGAAGGCGGATTTTCGGCCAAAGTGCTCTTTTCTGATGAGGCTCATTTTCACCTCAATGGGTACGTAAATAAGCACAATTGCAGATTCTGGGAGGCTGAAAATCCACACCAATATCATGAACAACCTCTCCATCCTGAAAAAGTGACTGTTTGGTGCGGATTATGGGCTGGTGGCATCGTTGGAGGATTCTTCTTTGAAAATGCCGAAGAAAAGGCCATTACCGTCAACGGGGAACGTTATCGTGTCATGTTAACAGACTTTTTGTGGCTACAATTGGATCGTATTGGTGCCCACGATCTTTGGTTTCATCAAGACGGAGCAACGGCTCACGCATCTCGCCAAACAATCGCCTTATTGCACACGAAATTTCAAGACCGCATAATTTCACGAGATTCAGATGTCAGTTGGCCTCCGAGATTTAACACCTCTTGACTATTACTTTCGGATTTTTGAAAGGAAAAGTGTATGCGAATGCTCCCTAGATAATTCAAGACCTAAAGCGCGCTATTCAGACTCAAGTTGCGGCCATAAACCCGATTATTCTGGGAAAAGTCATTGATGTTCGGATGTTGGCCCGTAAACGAAGCCGCGGTAGTCACATGACTGATGTTATTTTTCATGCATAAATGGCATAAACCAACCTTCATTGATCAATAAAAAAATCGATTTAACCTCGTAAAAAGCGTGTTGATTTTTCAAATAGAAAAAAAAGTAATAGATACATACAGTTGAATGACCTTCTAGGCATTCTATTTAGCGTAGAATCTATACAATCTAGTAGTAAAAAAGCTTTTCTTACTATATTTGCGAATATACTCAGGATAAAACTAAATCTTCTGACGATGTTGGCGTGAAATAGATAAAGATATGATAAAGGATAGGCAAAAAAGACATAATTGGAAAAACATAGTACGGTTTCTTCAAATAAAAGGCTTTAGAACATCAGCTTCAAAACCTTGATTAAGTGCCCATTCCTTTGGTTTCTGTCAGCTTAGGTTACCAACTTTTGCCGCCATCTTATGTCGTAGGGCATGTAGACATGTTAAAACAATCATTCTTAACGATGAACACTAAAACTGCTATCTTGATTCGGGTCTAAAGGCGGTCGTCGGTTGGAATTTCTTCCTAACGTTTCGCTAGCACGAGTGGCAAGCTTCTTCAGAGGTCCTTCCATTTGCGATGCTGGATGTAGACTGAAGAAGCTTGCCATTCGTGCTAGCGGAACAGCAGTTTATCAACTGGCCGCGAAAGCCTTAACCAATTTGATGAACACTAAAGTTAACATTTCTTAACCCAAACTCTAGCAAATTATTTTTCAGCCCCTACGCAAGGGTTACATAACTTTAGTTTCGTTTTAGAACGTTCGACGTTTAAATATTTCTCCTAATCAGAACCAAGTGACGTGACAAATATTCGGTCAGAATCATATGTATGGTCTACCAGTTATAGATGATTAGCCATAATCTCTGAAAGATACACGAATATTAAGGAGAAAAACAAATTGAGTAATGGCTTAGGCTAGCAGTAAAAGACACTAGGTTATCCTGAAACCCAAGTTAAGATGCAAGGAAGCCGTTGCACGTAAGACTATTAAACAAGTTGCATCGCAGTTCGTGCTGTTTTCACGGAAAATTCGCCGTGATGTAGTAGTGAACAGCTGGCCTTTTCTTGTGTCTGTTTGCTCTTCCTTTTACGCGAAAGCAAACGAATCGGGGAAATGGAATGGCGCTAGATCACGAAACGGGAATTTCATTTATAAAAATGCGTATATGTTACACAGAAAATGTTCAGTTTTTGTCCGCACAACGTAGCCTAGTAGAAAAACGAGAACATCTCAAATGGAATGGAAGTTGCTTGTTTCCATTTGATGATAACATTTACTTTAATGTGTCATTCCAAGCTTGTTTATTCGGAAGACAGCAGTGGGCTGTGGTAGAGAGGGCTGTATCCAATTAAGATGATATTTATTTTGGGGTGCCCCAGGGTGCAATCTTGGTCCCTTGCCCTTTTTTAATATTCCTAAACGACTTATTCGATCATACCAGGCCTTTGTGTAGCATGTGCTCATGACATATCACCGTGACCTAGCAAAAAAAGAGCTGCTGACAGTTTAGTAAAAGCAAACAAATGGTTCTCTGCTAATTATCTAAAGCTAAACGATGACAAGAATGAAAATATTATCCTATACACTAATAGCTCCGCAACGATGCGTAGAAATACTAGAGTCCTTGGAATAGTTTTAGATGACTCATTAAGTTGGGAGCATCACAATGAATCGCTGTGAAATTAAGCAAATTCCTTTTTATTTAGCGGAAATCGGAATCACAGGTCAACCTACAGGTATTAAAAGTTTGCTAGTTTATATGATGTATGCACTGGTATTCATTATTCAGAAGAAATCCATTTACACCATGACCGGTTTAGGATATCACGATTCTTGCAGATATCACTTTAAAAATTATTCATATCTGACACTTCAATAGATATACAGTACCGAGCAAAAGTAGGGAAATAAACCACATTACAAATAAAAATTCAGAAAGACTACTCCAACCTAAAACTGTACACTAACGTTTTTTATGTATGACTACCTCAATATAATGAAAAGCTTATCTTTGTGTACATTCTTTTTTTTCAATATAATATGGCCGGTTCTTTGTTCAACGAGCAACAGTAGAGAAACGTTTTGGAAATATTTAGTTTATATTCAGTCGTGGATCAGAATAGGTGTTATTTTTGAGTGTATTTGGTAAAGTGTAGTTCAAAAACATGGCCAGAGGAATTACATGGAATTTGCAAATAAAATAATTGATTATTCAGGCATTAAACAAGCAACCACAGCCAAACAGCGGAATTTAAGCCGATCGGTAATTTGAAAAACTATTAAGCTGTTCCACCCCAAGAAATCGTTGGTAAGCTCTCCTAAGACTGGTAGACCGCGAAAAATCACACCTAGGATTGATAGGAAAATTAAAACACTTGCTCTTAAAAATCCATTTACTACTTTAGTCGACATAAAAGCTCAACTTGAAGAAGTAAATATTGGTGTCCACACTGTTCGGAGACGTTTAAGTGAGAGTGATTTACCAGCAGGGAGACCATCTAAAAAACCCTTTATTTCCAAGAAAAATCGGACCGCCCGTCTTCAATTTGCTTACGATCATTTGAACTGATCAGAAACAAGGTGAAATTCTGTATTATTTACCGATGAAAGTAAATTGAATTTATTTTCATCGGATGGCATTTTATGGGTAAGACGTCCTAAAAACAAGCGATTTGATCGTAAATTAACTTTGGGCACAATCAAACACGGAGGCGGGAAGTATGGGGTTACTTCTGTGGTCTTCAAGTGGGACCCGTCGTCAAAACTGAAGGAATTATGGACCGGTACAAATACTTGGAGATATAAACTGATACCATGCTACCTTACGCAGAAGAAAACATGCCTTCCAGCACGATAACGACCCCAAGCATACAGCGAAAATAATAAAAACATTTTTTGCAGATCACAACATTAATGTCATTAAGTGGCCAGCTCAGAGTCCAGACCTTAACTCCATAGAGAACCTATCGGATTTAGTTGATACAAAAATTCGGACTGAACATCCAGAAAAGTTCAAAAATAGTTCCGAACTATTTGAAACAATCGAAATCGCCTGGAATTCTATTCCAAAAGAAGCAATAGATAGCCTAATCGGTTTTATGAGAAGAAGAAGTCTAGCAGTTATCAAAAATTAAGGTTATGCAACGAAGTATTAGCTTCTTTGTATACGACAGTTGCTTTGTATATTATGTTTCTCTATTTTTGCTCGCTGTATTTTCTAATAATAATTATTAGCATAGTTTTACTAAAGCAGAAATTTTATTTGATGTTGGCCTGGAATTACGTGTTACATTAAGTTATAATAAAACATGATTGTTTTGTTTACTTTAATAGTTTAATAAAATCTTTAAAAAAATTAAATGTTTATCCACTTTTGCTCGGTACTGTACATAAACATAGAAATGACTACTTCGCAAATTCTAACTCCCACAGTTATCAGATGACGACTGATGACTTAAGGGCGCCAAAATTCTCACTTTTGATGTCAAAATAGGATTTCCCGCCTTTAGAGGTGTACAACCATAAGTATTTGTCAAGTTAACACAATTCAGTTTAAAAATACTTTAAATAAGTTCATGAACATTGTCTTCAATCCATAATTGAAAATTTTAGCCAGAGACGTATGCGTACTGTAGAGTTTTCAAATCTATTTTATCGCTATGTCGTTACGTTTTTTTTGTGATCGTTTGTGTAAGTTTTTAATGGCATGTCTTCTTGTACTTAGCACGTAAAAAGATGAAATAAATATATTTATATCATTTACGAAAAATTGACAATACGGCTGTGTTATATACAGGTAGAGGCGTCTCTTCCTCTTTGGCTGTTTCTTCAGCAGTCCCTCATGGGTCTGTCTTAGGTCCTTTTCTGCATTTAATATACAAGGTGGTGCATCGAAAACGAAACGCTCAGACCCGTCGATTTTGTTTTCGAGGGGGACACAAGTTTGGCAAAAAATCACGTTAGCACGTGCAGCCCCCTAAGCGGGGGTGACACCACCCCCAAAATCTTAAATGGAAAGGGGGGTCGAGTGATACCTTATTTTAAAGGTCTTTCAGTTCCCTTTATAATGATATAAAATTAATGTACTTAAGTTCAGTAGTTTTGAAGATTTATTGATTTAAAACTTAAATAAGACTAATAAAGTAATTAAAAAATGAAGAATGAACTGACCCGTTAGGCAAGTAAATGTTGAAAATGGGCACCATGACTCTCCATGCAATAATAAAGATTTTGGTCAAAACGTTGCCGCACATTTTTGGAGTAATTTGAAGGCACTCGTTCACAATTCTTTGTCGCAGGTCTTCTAATGATGTTGGCTGAGTACCATAGATTTTGCTTTTTAAATGACCCCACATAAAGAAATCCAAAGGTAAATAAATGTGGCGATTGAATAGCACCTCTTCTACCAATCCATCGATCTGGAAACGTCTGATCTAAATATTGTCGAATATTGTCGAACACGTAATGCGTAATGTGGTGGGGCACCATCCTGTTGGAACATCAACCTATTCGCAATGTACCGCCGATCATTCTGATTTTCAATTATGGCTGTTAATGCAGGATCTATGGCGTCTTCCAGTAATTCCAAATTCATTTCACCGGTCAAATTTCCAGGTAAGAAAAAAGGATCAACCAAATGATCGCCAAAAATACTAGCCCAAACATTTAATTTTTGTAGCTGCTGTGTATGAACCTCATGATAAATTCTGGGATTAGAATCGGACCATTATCGGCAGTTATGACGATTTACTACGCCATTTAAACAAAACGAACATTCGTCGGAAAAGCAAGTGTTGAATAGAAAATGTTCATCGTTTATAATTCGTTCACTCATATCTTCACAAAATTGTAATCGCCGATCAAAATCGTCTTCATTAAGTTCTTGTACAAGGTGAATTTTATACGATTGAAAACTATGGGCCTTTAGAATCCGTTGGATAGTACGTCGACTAACACCACACACAGTCTCCAATTTGCGGGTACTTAACGTAGGATCTACATAAACTTGCCCTAAAACCCCCACTTCTATTGATTCGTTCCTTATGGGATTTCCAATGTTGCGTTTTTTATTGGCGACTGACCCAGTTACCCGAAATTTAGCTACAAGTTCTAGAACATATTTTCGTTGCACGTTACTGTTCTCATGTCGCTCATTAAAGATTTCTGCTGTTCTATTAGCGCACTGATTATTTCCGAAAAATATTTCGATAATTTCAACTCTTTCTGCTGTGGAATATACCATGGTTAATTTATGTAATAAAGCGTTACAAGTTATTTTAGCAACAAAGTTTGGTCAAATCAATCGCAAACTATGTAGTAAATTAATATTTTTTAAATATTATTATTTATTATTATTTTTAAGTACGAGATATTTCCTTATCTTTTTGTCACAAAAAAAACGCTTCAATAGCTATTTTTAACAACAAAACGATAAACATACCATGGGCGTAGTGAAGAAAAGCATTTACTTATTAACTAAATTCTTTTAGTCAAATTTCTTCTGAAAGTAGTATAACCTAATCTGATGTACCTATGTCTACTTTAAGGTTCAAATCAATAAATCTTCAAAACTACTGAACTGAAGCTCATGTATTTTACATCATTATAAAGGGAATTGAAAGACCTTTAAAACAAGGTATCACTCGACCCCCCTTTCCGTTTAAGATTTTAGGGTTGGTGTCACCCCCGGCCAGGTGGCTGCACGTGTTAACGTGATTTTTTGCTAAATTTGTGTCCCCCTCGAAAACAAAATCGACGGCTCTGAGCGTTTTTCGAAAAAAAACTGAGCTGCCAGTAAATGCGTCTGTTTCGTTTTCGATGCGCCACCCTGTATATTTTCCATTTACATTCATGTATTGAACATTGTGTCATCTGGAGGAAGCATCATTTAACGTAAATTACAATCTAGCCGATTTCGGTAAGAGGTACATGCTAGAGATTAATCCTGATACTTACATGCATTTTTGTGCTAAGTACTTGTATATTAGAGAATCGCAATGACCATCAACTAGCTGAGCTCACTCCTATTGTGGAACAAGTAAAAAATCTTGTTATCTCTGACTCAAGTTCAAGATTTGATAATATGTGTATTTCCTTACACAGTAGTATCGACATGGATAAACTTATTGAAGCTGTAGTAGTAGTATCAAGAATGTGGAACGTTCCATAGCAAAAAACACCTCCGGGGTGATGCTAAATTGATCCAGCAAGAGTTCAAATTCCCCATCCTTTTAGGCTCATTAAACCGAAATGATGCCTAAGGGTTAGCAATTGAATTCTCACCAAGGCAGTTTCTAAGGCAATTACCCATTCTAATTAGAAGTCGCGACCTTGTCTCATGGGAATCACGGGTTGCTTTCACGCTGTTATGACGGAGTTTGTAGGTTAAATGCGGGGTCGCCGGTGATAACCGTCTGCGTATCGAGCAAATGTCACCATGTTGTATGAATTTTATTAGTGACAAGAGAGTTGCGGTTAGTCCCTCGTATCTATGCACAGTGCGAATCATTTATGTTTGAGGGCAGTTAATTCTACTGGTATTTCCACAAAAAAAAGATTCTAACATCCATACCGACAATTCAAAACTAATATCAAATGTCGAACAACAATCATGCACGAAAATCCTCTCCGCAAACAAATACGTTATTTCGATAAGTTCTACATATTTAACCCTTACACCGACCTTTAAATTGTCATATCATGTAAAGGAGTCCAGAGAGTACCAACAACATGCTTTAAGCAAGTGTAGCTGTGCGACATTTATCTTTCTATAGCATAGCGTTACCAAGTACAGTGGACCTCCGGTAATCCGACAGACATTATGCAGGGCAGTGTCGGACTATCGAATTTGTCGGATTATAGAGCACTGCCTAAGACCCCCTATAGTCCAGAATTTTTTACAAAAGAGTACCATGTAATCCGACAAATTACATATCCAATGGTAAGATTATACAGGGTGACTTCGAAGTTGAGTCATTTATTTTAACAGTGAGTAGATCTGATCAAAAGAAATGTTTTTTTCCTTTACCATTTTTCTGGTAAAATTAAAGTAACAAAGTTATAGCCCTTTGGAAGTTTGAGTACCGCCCTGTCTCAATAATAATATTATGTGCTCGTGTTTGGCAACAACGGATATAATCCGATAAGGTTCATCGGATCGGAAACAAAAAAGCGAAAGAATTTGGAACGATGTTTTTACAATTATTTTATACA